TTTGGGCTGGAACGTTTTTTCAGATTTTTAACGCTATAAATATTATTAAAAAATAAAATAAAAATTATTATTATATGGATGGGCATAAATGAAATTCTTTGCTTGCAGAACCATCAAACATGATGCTTAATCAAATTTGAGAGGAAGCAAAGCTGGCCAAGAAATTGAATTTTATTATTTTTTTAATATTATTATTTATGTCAAAGCTTATTATAATAATGTTGGTGGATTTATTTATTATGTGGAAAATGATTTGAGTTTTAATTAAATTATATGGAGGTAAGATGTTGACCGTATGATCTACATCGTACGGCAAAGGGAAATTGACATTTTCAAACGTGGCCAGATCTCCGGCGTTGCTGGAGACAGCTGGCGGTTGATGTGGCCAATACGTGGACCTTTTAATTTCCACAACGTGAAAATGTGCAAGCCACAACTAATTTTTGTCTTTCCTTCCTCGGCCGACATGAGACCACGTGTCCTATCTGTGATGGGTTGAGAAACAAATCATTTTCTCAGGTTCCCACTTGGAGATAATAGATATACCACACTCGCATTGGCCCACTTTTCGTACGCGCTTCATTTATGTGCCACGTGACCTTCTCCCCGATCCGTTTTTTGGGATAAAAAGTGTAACAGTACAAGCTGACCGCACTGACTGCAAGTAGATATTGTCTTTTTAACCCTATTTCGATCAGTGTCTCGCACGATTCGATAACTGGCTCTGATACCATTTGTAACGGGTCAAAACAGACAACGTCTACTAGCGGTGGGTTTTAACTGATATACTCACTCCTTTTTCCCTTTCTCTTTTCAGGTACCGGTCGAGATGGGGAGGTGCTCAAAAGTTGCACTGTTACAAAGGAGTGTCAACACCGGGCGTTGGTTAGTTGTATTCTTTTAGAGTTGATTTTGTATGCTTTTGTGTCTCGTGCCATTTTCCTCGTTTGTAAACAACTTGGAATATTTTACGCTCGTGATGTATGTCTTTTAAAACTGCACGAAATTTTACTATATTTTATACATTTTCAACGTTTTGTTTTATTTTGTTTGTGTTTGATTTTGTAATTTTGTCACAGGTCAATTTCTCGAAGTCTCGTAAATTGATTCGTAACAAGGAAGTTGGACGTTTGTCGAACATGAGAAAGGTGGGTATTTATTATAAATGAAAATTGATTTTTTTTTAATTAATTTTAATATTTTTGTATTTTTTAAAATATTAGAAATAAAATTATAAAAATCAGGTGACTGTGGGTGAGCAACTCTTTGATAGGTACAAAGGTGACCCTAACAAAACCCATTAATTTTGAATAATTAAAAATGGTTGTCGAGCAATAATTGGAAAGTTGGGGACTTAAAATTAAATTTTAAAAATTAAAAAATAAAAAATAAATAAAATAAATAAATAAGTCAAAGAAGGCTTTTTGAGTGATTCGAAATTCCAATCTATCTTGACTTGGAAATTCACATGTAAATGTTATAAATTTGGCTTCCCTAAATTGGAAATAAATAAATAAATAAAATTAATTTATTTTTTATTTTATTTTTATTATTTGTATTAAAATAGCCTTTTTAGGTCACAACTTTAGGTGATTCCTCCTCATCATATTCCAAGTGCAAATCCAAGTCACAATTTTTTTAAAAAAATTATTCGAATTTAAAAGATTTCTTTAAATTAAAAAAAAAAAAAAAATTACAAATTTAGTCTTTAATCGTCCAATTTTATATTTAACACGTTAATAAATTTTTACGATTTTTATATTTTTTTTTAATTAAACGAGTTTATTATACTTTGTGTGGGATAAAATTTAAAAAAAAATGTATATATTTTATTTATGGATTTTTTTTTCTATGTAAATATTATAATCCAAAATTATATTAAGTCAACAGTATAAGTATTAGGTGAAGTTTTATAAAAATATGTATAATTTTTAGTTCTTTTTTTATTTATTTGAATATGCATATTAAAAATTTGGAAGTCACCCTCAATTTATGGAAAAAGTGCTTTTGATTTGGATATTTATATATATAAAAAAAATGGTTCAAGCTTGAATTTATTCAATGTTTATTTATTTTTTTAATTCTTAAAATATCCCATATTTTATGTACGAAGTGGTACAAGTTGATGATCCGAGTTGTCCATATTGGTGTATACGACTGTAACGACCCAGATCCACTGCTAGCAGATATTGTCCTTTTTGGGCTTTCCCTTTCAAATTCCCTCAAAGGTTTAAAACGCGTCTGCTAGAGAAAGGTTTTCACACTCTTATAAAAATTTATAAATGGTGATTTGTTCTCCTCCCTAACCAACGTGGGACATCACAATTCACCCCCCTTCGGGGCCCAGCGTCCTCGCTAGCACTTCTTCCTTCCTCTAATGGATGTGGAACAGCCCCAAATCCACCCTCCTTTGGGGCCCAGCGTCCTTATTGGCACACTGCCTCGTGTCTACTCCCCTTCGGGGAACAACGAGAAGGCTGGCACATCATCCAGTATCTGGCTCTGATACCATTTGTAACGACCCAGATCCACCGCTAGCAGATATTGTTCTCTTTGGGATTCCCCTCAAGGTTTTAAAACACGTCTCCTAGGGGAAGGTTTCCACACCCTTATAAAAATTTATAAATGGTGATTTGTTCTCCTCCCCAACCAATGTGGGACATCACAACGACGTATTGGGTTTGATTGGATTGAATCGAATTGGATGGGTTGGTGACCCGAGCAACTCGAATATAGCTCCCAACCCAACCCAATCATCTATTTTTGAGTTGAGCGATGGAATTATTATCTTTATTTATCCACTATATATGTTATATCAATAATTAAAATCTGATGAAACTCAAATATTAAACATTTACAAGTCATAACACATCACTAACATTAGTTACAAAAGTCAAAATGATATTGTACAGTAGAGTAGAGTTGGATTGTAGCTTTATTTTCGAATTACACAGATTGATTCGACCAAAAAAGTGCCAACCCGCGAACCCAACTTAACCCAAAGCGGAAAAAATCTAACCCAACTCCATTCTCGGGTTGCTCGGGTTAAGCTAAATAAAAAAAATAAAAAAATGGGTTACCTAATTAGATGACACACAAACCAATACTTAAAATAGGGGATTTGAGATTGAAAGGGTTGGGGGAAAGTGGGATCTCCCACTTGCAGCTTTTACTTCTTTAAATCATAATTTAAATAAATAAATAAATAAATATATATATATATATAAAAAGATAGAGAGAGTTTTATTTGTTTATTTATTTGAGTGACTTTGAGCCTAAGTTAAAAAAATGGAATATGTACAATTATTTTATGAAATATTCTATTTTATTATATGCTTTCAAAAAAAATATTTGATGCCTTCACTTTGAAGATATACATTATATTGTTATATTCTTCGTTTTAGATTCTTATCTTTTTAGAAAATGACGGAAAAAAATGTTATAGAGCTTGACTCGAAGGTTTAATATAACTAATGGATTGCTTAATGAAATAATAATTTATATGATTAAGAAAGTCTCCGTTGTTGTAATCAAGATAATAGACGTGTAGGTGTGGTCTTATCGTATTTTTGTAGATTACTGTTAGAGGTGTACACGAATTGAGTTGGAAAAATCTTTTAGACTATTACAAATTTTCGGGTTGGTTAAGTTGGTGATCCGAGGAGCTCGATTAGAGTTCACAACTCAATCCAACCCAACCGTCTATTTTCAGAATGAGTTAGGTTGGATTGGATTGTCGGGTTATTCTTTTATTGTTTTTTTACGAGTTACATTGGATCAATAACATTTGTCATAAATATTAAACATTCTTAATTTTTTAAAAGTAAAGTAGGGTTGGACCCTATTTTTTAGTTGGTTGAGTTGACACGACAGGAAAAATGTCAACCTATGAATGAAACTGAATTTTTCGATTTTGAAAAATCCGACCCAACCCAAACTAAAAATGAAAAAAAAAAAAAAAAATCTAATCCAACTCAATCTTTATGGTTTCGGTTGGGTAGTTCGAGCTGGTCGAGTTATTGAGTCATATGAACACCCTTAATTCTTATAAATACATAGTCAAAATTGAACATAGTTCGATGTGCCGTCGATCAAAAGGTTTGAAGCTTGTATCTCGTATCAATCTGAGCACGGTTTAGAGGATAAGGACTCCCACCGACAAAATTAAACAATGAATTTTACTTTTATTTAAAAAAAAAATCATAAAAATATTGTAGATAATGAAAAAAGGAATGGGAGTTAGATGTTGATGAACGTGAGAGAGGACAAGTTGAATGTGATTCACACGTGATTGTAATTGAAGAGGAAACAGAAAACTCAGTAGAGAATCAACATTAATCAGTTTATTAAAAAATAAAATAGATCCCTTCATTCTGACAATAATTTTAAAAAGGAAATAATAATAATAATAATAATAATAATAATAATAATAATAATAATAATAATAATATGGAATCATTGTGATCCATCAATTACAAGAAACTAATAAAGCAAGCCCAACCCAAATGCATGGTTACAAATTAATAAGTGAATTAAAAAAAAAACATAAATTTGTGTATATATATATATAAACACAATTATATAATCTAAGTAAATTAATATAATTATACTTAGGAAAAAAAAATTAATTTTCACTATGATTTAAAATCTCAAAATTGCAAATATTTTTCATGATCTAATAACACAATATATATATTTTTGGCCTCTAAATTATGAATTTTTTCATGATAATATCCCTAAATTATTAAAAAAAAAAAATCTATAATTTAAAAAATATATATTCATAAATACATTTGTTTCAATAATATTCATAAATCATAATTCATAAATTAAAAAAAAAAAATCCTAACTATTAGGTTTGACCGGTAGAGTTGAAACATTGACTTTATATGATATCTATAATTGATGTTTTATCTATTGAACTATATTCGGATGGTAAATTTCAGATACCAATGTTTATAAAACGAAACTAATTAAACGTTTAATTTAAGACAAGCAAATAACGGTGTAATATCCCACGTGTGAGGGTATATTTGGAAACTTTATTTAGTGATAGGTACACATGGAGTTCAAGCTTGTGATGATCCACATTGAAAGAATTGTTTGAGGTTGGAAGGGTTAATGAATTGGGCATCTCCATACCATATCAGCTTTGCAAACTGCTCATAAGCTCTTTCATTGGGATGGTAAGAGTCGAAGAACAGATATTCATTGGGATTTTCGCATAACTCAAATTCTGTTTGTCCTCTCATTCCTCCACAGCTATATATTCCCCTCAACTCTCCACTTCCACAGCATGCTGTTCTTCCATCCTTCAAACCTTCATCCAAACACATCACAACGTCATCGTTAGTAGATATGGTTCTCTTTAGACTTTTCTTTCGGATTTACGTTCAACATTTTAAAAACGTGTTTGCTAGGAAGATGCTTCGTTCCTCTCTCCAACCGATGTGAGATCTCACAATCCCACCCTTTGGGAGCCCAGCGTCTTTGCTGATATACCGTCAAATGTCTGGCTCTGATACCATTTGTATAAGCACAAACCCACTTGGGCTTTTCTTTCGGGCTTCACTTCAAGATTTTTAAAACACGTCTTCTAGGGAAAGGTTTACATACCCTTAAAAAGAATGCTTCGTTCCAAGATTTTTAAAACGCGTTTGCTAGGGAGAAGTTTACGCCCCTTTATAAATAATGCTTCATACCTCTCTCCAACCGATATGGGATCTCACAATCCACCCTCTTTCGGTGCCCAGCGTTCTCGCTGACACATCGTCCAATGTCTGGCTCTGATACCATTTGTAACAGCACAAACCCACTTGAGCTTTCCTTTCAGGCTTCACCTCAAGATTTTTAAAACGCGTCTTATAGAGAGAGAGGTTTACACACCCTTAGAAAGTGCTTCATTCCAAAAAAATTTAAACTCGTATGCTGAGGAGAAGTTTACACATAAAAGAATGCTTCATTTCACAATCCACTCCTCTTAGGAGCCCAACAAGCACTGGCATAGAGTCTAATATCTGGCTTTGATACAATTTGTAACCACACAAACCCACCGTTAGCATATATTGTCTGCTTTAGCCATTATGTATTGTCGTCGGCCTCACGGTTTTAAAACGCGTCTACTAGAGAGAGATTTCCACACTCGAATGTTTCGTTCCTTTCTCCAACCATCCAACCAAGGTAGGAACTCACAGACCCTAATTTAATCTTCAATAATTCATAACTCAAAATCTTTAATCTTTACCCATAAAGATAGTACCTAGGTTAGATCTAGAGTAAGATTATAATTGTTTTTTTAGACAATCTTTACCCATAACTTAAACACTGACTCAAAAGATTCTAAATCCATATATTAGATCTAGAGTAAGATTATAATTGTTTTTTAGAGACAAATCTTAATAGAGAAAATTTAAGAAACATGGAAAGATTAATGGAAGAGGAAAAGAGTTGGTTACCATATTTTGAAGGGTTGTCGATTCTGTTTTGAAGCATATTGTAGGTATCAGCGAGGGTGTATTTGAATCCTTGGAGATCGTGGGCAAGCTTCTGAAGAGCAGCAGGAAGCAGTTTGTTGTGAAGCCTCGCAAGCGCTGAAGCTTCATCCCAACAGCTTCCATGGCCGCCCACTTTCATCAATCTCGTGTGCGGCATACAACCTAATGGAGGCACCGCCAGAAATGCAAATTTCCTTCCTCCTTTCTTGTATATTTCCTATCTCATCAAACAATTACATTACTGAAATCAAACCATTTCCAGAAACCTTCTGAAGTAATTTCAGATTCAAATCGGTAAGGTTCTGAAAATTTCAATTTGGTGTTTATGATTTAATTTGACAATTTTTTCTTTCTACGATTTGGTTAAATTTCAGGACTAGTTTTCTATTGTGTTCTACTCCATCGGAAGATCAACTAGTTTTTTTTTTTTTTTTTTTTTTTAATCATTTGGCTCTAGTTTCAATGTCAACTAGTCATTAAAAGTTGAATCGATATTGTAAGAAAACTAACCCAAATTCTAAGAACAAAAAGCTAAACATCAATAGTTGATCATACAATTCCTATGGAACATAGTTTGACAGGATAAGTTTGGATTAAATTGAAACAAATGAAATCATCTTAAATTTAATTAGCAATAAGAACGGAATTGAAACTTGAGATTAGATGGAATTGAGGAGGGAAAATAATCAGATTCGAACTTACTTGGAGGACGGATGTTACGTTCCCGATCACCATGTTCACGTACTCGATTTCAGTGTACTTTTCAAGAACAGGAGAACCTTCAAAAGCGACGATGTAATCGTTTCCTCCGATACTGAACATATAAACAGAGTCCGAGAGCAAGCTACTGGCTCTGGCATCACCGAGCTTCTTCCTCAACGACCTCTCCACCTTCTTGAAATACCTAAGTTGAGTTTCAATGTTTATAGCCTGAAATTCAAATCGATGCAGTCAATTTCCGGAAAATGCATTCAAATCGGCAGAGAAAAAGAAAAACGCGAAGAGGAAAGTCGATGCGGTTTGATCGATCGACTGATTGATTCGTACGAATCCTTGGTGAGTTTCGACTAAAGCGCCGCCTCCACCGGATGCAAAATTGACGCCATGGATGTAGAGATTGTTGTGAGGATCTAAATACGCTGGAATCAGAGGCAGATTGGCGTACTCCGCTGAAAGAAAAGAATCCTGTAAGAACGAAAACGAAACGAGTCAGAGTTTTAGTTCAGTTTCTGTTTTGAGATTTACCGATGAAGTCTGGTATGAGACGGCCATCGGAGAATCTTCCGGTCGGAGAGTTGAAGAAAGTTTCGCCGTAGGGCGTGAAATTGGCACGGAAATCCTCGGTAGTGTTGATGAAGTTGTTGTTTCCAGGATCGAGAAAGGAATCGCCGAAGACGAAGAAGGCGACGCCATTGTTCGATGAAGGAACGTCGTCGATTTGAGATCCATGTGAGGTGAAGAGAATTGTGAAGAAGATTTTGAAAAAGAAATGGACGTTTGAAATCTTCATCTCTTCAGACATTAATCAACGGAGAGGTATTATTCTTTTCGTGTTCTTGTAACGATATAATAGAACAGAGTGAACTCGAACATTATTATGATATTCTAATTGAATTTAAAATAAAATAATTGTTTTTAAAAAAATAATTTTTATATTTTTATATTCTAATGAAGAATATTATTGACTCATTTTATGGATTATAGTGGAAAATTATTAGTTGAAGAAGTCATTGCAATCAGGTTGATTGTTTTGTACTATATGAGAAAATAATAATAATAATATTTTGTTTTCTTTTTTTTTTTGTACGTAATGATTTAAACGATCATAAATTTAAAATTTTATGTTCGTATTCATAGACAAATCTACTCGAGTTCATATGATTTAGATTTAGTTAGATGTGGTTTTAATTTATTTATTTACTGTTTATTTACCTATATGTGACAATTTTGTTGGATAATTCACCGTGGTAAAATGGAATGAGAAGTAAATTGTCACGAAACGAATCTTTTAGGTTTTGAAAATCGAACCGAAACTAAAAAGACGTATGCGAAAACAAATAAGATAAAAAATAATTGAAAAACAATCAAGACGATGTTGTACAAAATTTTACAAATGGGAAAAATTATAAAACAAAATATAAAAGAATCCAAAATGTAAAAATGGATTGACGTGAACGCACCCCTTTGTGACAGTGTAGCTCCCGAGCACCTCCCCCCACTTTGACTAGTACCTGAATAAGAAAGGGGGAAGGAGTGAGTATAAAAATATAAACAACCAACCTGTAGGGTCATTGCTTCCTTTTTCTTAATAGAAAAGGGGAAAGGGGAAAGGTGAAAGGGGAAATGAGTGAGTATAAAAAATATACTCAGTAAACAATCAATCGATAGGCTCTCATTACTTCCTTCTCTTAATAGGTTCCCACAACTTTCCTTTGGTCTATAAGAAGTTTGGGCTTAACCGTTACAGTGCTCTAAGCTATTGTGTAGGTCTCGAAGCTCTAATTGATTCTTCATTGATCGTCTATTTATGTAGTCCCTAGCCCCTCTTCGGGACTGGTTTACGGCGTCACGACGTTGGCCTTGACTCGTTCCTACACTCAATAGAAGTGTTCATACTAAACCACCTACCCACATAGTCCCTGATCTCTTCCAAGATTGGTTTACGAAGTCGCGACGTCGGCCTTAACTCATTCCTACACTCAACAGGGGCTTTCATCCTGACACTTACTTGTGTAGTCCTAAGTCTAACTAGGACTGGTTTATACGTTCGCCTGCTTCTACGCTCAATAGGGGTCCATATCTTGAACTAACTACTCATGTAATCCTTAGTTCTTCTCAGGAACCGGTTTAATGGGATCAAAGCATCAACCCTAACTCGACTCTACACTCAATAGTAACTAAACTAATTTTGTGATTCTGTAAGCTACTTAAAATCATATTAAGACACCGTGGAGGTTTATTAGGTTCTTAGAGCGTCCAAACGGTTTAAACTCCATTTCTCAATTCAAGGACATTCTAGGTTAGCCCTTGGCATAACCAATCCCTCGGTGCACATAGGTCTAACCTCTAGTTCTACATGTTAACCGCACTAGTTATAACGCCTTAATCTTAACTAAATTCTTGATGCATACTCTACTACAAAAAATGTATCTATCGACCGTCTTTAACACGTAGAGTGTCTACTAGGAAAATTTTCAATAGTATACATTTTTTATATTGACATTTAACATCTATTTTATTATAAATTAATGATTCAAAAATTAATATGAGTTAATTAATAAAATTTCAGAATATGTAATTGTCATAAAAACCATTGCATCAAATCAAAATGTTATTGATTTATGATGAAATAGATGTGAATATATATATATAGTAGGATAAGATTATAACATTTAAATTTTAATCAGAGAATATACAAATTTTGTATAAAGTTGATTTAAAAGGCTACCGATTATGCACTAAGAAGAATCTGAAGGGTGCTTTGAGATGAATGAATGAATAAGAAGTTTTAACAAACAAGAAAAAGACTCATTCTATGATTACTTTGAACCCTTGTGAAAAACAAACCCAAATGCAGCCATGATTATAATCAACCATAAAAGGCTAATCATTTCAAATAAAATTAAATATAAATATAGTTTTTTTTTAATTCATATAATGGGATGAACATCTGAATCTTGAAATAGTAATTGGGCCTCAAGGTCTTACTCATTTAAATATTCATTTCAAAATTTTGAATTTGAATCCATAGGATGCGTGATGCCAATCGAGTTAGGTTTTCTTATGGCAATCCTTCGGGCATAGATGGAGGAGAAGCGATGGGAGGGACAATAGGACAATCAACAGGAGACCTAGAAGGAGTAAGACTGTAGCTTGGAAAAGCTAGAATTTGAATCCATAGGATGTGTGATGCCAATCAAGTTAGGTTTTATTATGGCAATCCTTCGGGCATAGATGGAGGAGGAGAAGCGATGGGTGGGACAATAGGACAATCAGCAGGAGACCCAGGAGTAGGACTGGAGCTCGGAGGAGCTGCGGTAGACGAACTAGTCGTCGGAGATGGAGAAAGTGATGGAGATTTCGGAGTGGGGGTGAGGGTGACAATTTAGTTGGAATTAGAGGGGAAACGACCGGAGAAGGCATCGACGTGGTTAGCGTCGGAGGTAGAGGCTGTTTGGTATGTATAAAGGTTGTTCATTCAACTGTTAATCTTACTATGTCTACAATCTTGGAGTTGGACCACCTACAACCTCCAGCTTCTCCCCTCTTTAAAATAAGGAAAAAATCATTGAAGAGAACTACCATACTTGTAAATTTTTTCTAAAAAAGTTGCTATATCTACAAATGGCAAACACCAATTTGGTAACATTACAATAAGAACCATATTTCAAAAGAGAAATAATGAAAGCAACTCAATCACGCAAGATAAGAATATTAAAGTTGATAAAAAAAGAAAAGCAGTGATTTTGGTATTTTGACAAAAAAGAGCAACTTCTTGTTCATTTTGAATCTCAAAACGGATAAGGACAGATCAAAAACAACTTTTGAAGTATTTAGAGAATTTCGGATGAGATGTCATTGTCCTATCATCTCTGAAGGAAACATTTCTTTTAAAATCTAAACCCTGAAAATAAAAACTATGGCATTTTACAGAAAAAGCAAACTAATAAAATATTCAAAGTGGAAAAGGGTCGAATCAAATCACATGCAACAATGAACAAACAGCTTAGAGAATAGGAAGAAGTACCTCTTACAGAAGAAAGCACGTGAGTGGGAGAGTAGGGCCAAGCCAAACGATGGGATGGGATGCTCAAGGAACGGCACATCACTGGCTTTGTTGAGTTTTGAACTTAACCATAGCCACTGATTGTCCACTGCCTTTCCTCTGAATTCCCCATGCCCTTCTCCACAAATCTTACAGGCTTTTCAAGCTGCAACTCATTTATAAAGAAGAAAAAAAAAAAAATACTCGCAATTACTGACACAGATGAAACAATGAAAATGATCTAAAACTCTAGCTATGGCTGGCTTCCTTTGGGTCAGAGAAGTTTCATTCAGAAACTTATGCACCAAACAGACATTTTTATTGCACATTTCCTTAGTACAAAACAAAAATAGAACCTTTTCGGTTTCGGTTTATGAATATTATGGAATATGGAAGAGATATGGACGTAAGGGAATGGGCACAACCATCCATCATTCATACAAACACAAAAGGTAGAATTGAGATTCAACAAGTTTTCAACATCCATAGCATAGTTTATCAGTACAAGCATATATTAGTTTTGAGTTTCCCATAGTGTGGTCTCGAAACATGAAAAGGAGCCTACCAAGTAGTCACTATGTGCCCTCACATTGAACATACACACCAATGGCCATGTTCGTTAGGTCATTGCTTATGCAGGCAGATCTCTTTCTCTCGTCCATTCCCATGACAGATGGTAGACAAATGTTCCTGCAATGAGTTTTAATGTGAGACATTTCAAGTTTTAACAAGCAAAATAAAGGAGATTCATCCTGAAGGAGTATGCAGTTTTATAAAAAAATCAGGAAGACTTGGAAGAAACTGATAAAGATGTCGAACTCACTAATATGTAGCTTTTATTTACATAACCTAGCAAGGTGGACAAGAATTGCTTAGAAGACACTGCCGATCATTGCTGTAAGATCGTCAGAAGTCCAAAGGTCGACTGAGTTTTCGCCATCCTGGTTCCCCGTCTCTCCAGCCAGGAAGGCATCCATGGATGTATCCCAGCCACCATCAAGATATGGCATCTGGAAATTTTTCATCTCAGACTCAAAAGAAGACAGCTCCTCAGATAGGGTCTTTTCAGAACCTTGAGGTACCATATTCTCTGAGCTATACTTGACTTTTTTCCTTGGAGAAGCAGACTCCACAAAGTAAGATTCTTGATTTTCCATGGCAGCTGAAAGAGTAGACGAGATTTCAGGAGTTTTTGCACCCTGCTCTCCCCATCCAAAGTCAGAGTAATCAAAGGAGTTGCTCCCTTGATCTGAATAGAAGTACATGGGGGAAACATCAGAAGAAGGTGGGCTGGTTTTTATTGCAACGTCTCCATTGGCATGGAATGAGTTCATGTTGACGAGTTGATTTGCAAGTGGTTTTTCCTCCAGGAATCCCATGGTTCTATAGTATTCTTCATCAGAGCTATTCACAGAATCATTGTTCTGGATTAGATTTGGTTGGGTCCTTGTCAAGCTAGTTTTGGCAAGTGGACCTTGATGGTTTGTTTTTCCTGAACGCGTTCCACTAGTTTGTGGAGCTTCATTGGGGAAATTGACCTTAGCTTTCTTTCCTCGAATTCGTCGTGCTTCAGCATCATATGCTCGAGCAGCTTCTTCAGCAGTATTAAAGGTTCCAAGCCACACACGGACTCCTTTCTGGGGGTCACGAATTTCTGCTGCCCATTTACCCCATGGTCGCTGTCGGATTCCCCTGTACTGATTCTTTCGCTTTCTTTTTGCAGATTTTTCAGCTTGTCCAGAGAATTCTACAGATTTTGAGGCTGCAGAGTATATAAATCTTATTAAAACAGTGAGGAAGAAAGAATACACATATCAGGAGGAGAGAAAAACA